TCACTCTATAAAAAAGATACCTGCACACGTATGTTTATCGCAGCATTGTTCACAATAGCAAGAACCTGGAAACAACCATGCTGCCCATCAAAAGAGGACTAGATTAAATAAATGTGGTACATATACATGATGGAATACTATGCAGCCACAAAAAAGAACAAAATCATGAATTTCGCAGCAACCTGGATGGAACTATAATCTATAATACTGAGTGATCTCTCACAGAAACAAAGATCCGAGTATCGCATGTTCTCACTCATATAATGGACCTTGAACATCCAACGTAATACTATAAGAGAATGACTGATGGTACTGGGAAACTATGGGGGGGAAGGGGGATGGGATTAACAGTAGCAAAATATCTGTCTGGGGATGGGAAAACACCTCTTATCAACAGGGTGCCTGAATGAAACATAATTGTACACCTAACCCTTAACTGTACCCCACAAAACCATAATAAAAAATATTGATTGATTTAAAAAATTGATTAATTAAAAAAAAAAAGAAAAACTCGTCGAATGATTCTGATGATCACCTAGGCTTTAAGAAGCACTAGTCTTTCCGACCTTCTACTCAATGCTGGAATCCCCTAAGTAGTATTTCTTCAAGGTTTTCATTTAGCCTTTTTGGGAACACTGCAAGCTCACTAATACACAGAGAAGCCCTTCACGGGGAAGTATGTAGTGTGTAGGGTTTTGATAATCAGAGGTGGAGGGTAAGGATATTTGAGGTAGAGTAAATATTAGAAATAACTAGAAAATAGAAGTTTGGGGAGGATACTTGGGACTCAATTATGGAGTGACTTCAGTATCAAGCTAAAAAAATCTCAATACTATTCTCTATATAATGGAAGACCTTGATGGGATCATAATTACATTGAGTTAGAAATTCTGCCAAACAGAACAGAATGGTGAGCAAAAAGAATGGAAGCAGGGAGAACCACTGGAAGTTTAATTCAGGAGCTCGTGAGGAGCAGTGAGGTGCTAGATCAGAATTAGTAGGAATGCCAAAGAGGAGGAAAGTATAAACTGCATTGCAAGACTAGTCCTACAAATCTTGACTGATTGGAGGCAAGGGGCAGAGTCAATTCTGGGGTTTTGAGGTCATGGAGTGGCAAAAACATTAATCCAGATAGTGATATCAGGGTCAAGAGTAGGTTGAGAAGGCAGATGGCAAATCAGATTTTTGACATTTGAAAATACATTTCTTTCCATCACCTCCCACATCATTCTGTCATTTGTCCTAGAGCAGAAACTGTGTATGCTCAGAAGCTGGCACAGAGTACACCCTCACAATGTTTGGTGAATGAACAGCCACTGTGAATATCTTTTCTTCTCTTTATCTGCTTTAGTTAGGACCTTATTATTTTTCACCTGGATAATTGTAAGCCCAAGTGCCCTAGCTTGTGTTACTGTCTTTGCGTGTTTTAGAAAGAAGCACCCTTCTGAGTTTATAAATTAGAAAGAGTCTTTATCTGCATGGATGCAGCCCTTTGTTCAAGGTCTGGAAAGCAAAATACACCTCTGTGGGATTATAAAGACACTTCTTCTTGTAGAAGGAAACCTTCCATTGCCAGGATAAAGAGCTCAGAGAGCTGAGTATAGAGGTGGACTTTTAGATCTCACTCATTCCTTCAGCTGGCACAGAGTATCCTGGAAATGTCTCAACTGGTCACCTTGATCCCACCCTGCCATTTCTCTTGCCCTCAGCAGTAATGATTTTTTTTTTTTCTAAAATGTGATTGTATCACATTCTGATTCAAACATGTCTGTATTTCCCCAGTGCCTGCAAAATGAAGTCCAAAGTTCCTAACTTGTAATGAAAGTTTGTTCATGGCAGCTTCTTCTCAGCCTCCTTCCCAGAGGCCACTTTCCTTCCTCATCCTCCTCTCCAGCTATAATTCCCTGAATGGACACGGAACAGTTGAGACAAGCACCTGTCCCTGGGCACCCCTCTCTCCTGCACTGAGACCTAGGACTCAGGGCTTTCCAGGCCATGGATGTCCTGCTTCCAGTCTGTGACCTCCTTGAGGACTAAGGATGTGTTTTGTTCATGTCGTTTTCCTCAGCATCTGGCTCAGGCTTGCTGAATGAACACATGACAACTTGACTTGAAGACAAGTGAAAAGTGCAGATTTACCACTACAAACCAGAGCACCAAAAGCAAACACAACAAAACCCCCCAAACTTTTTGCTTCTTTCCAAACATGAGGTATTTCATGTGTGATCAAAACCTTTTTCTTTTTTTATACTTGTCTGTAGTCTTGAAATGACTATTTATTTAGAGGTTAATGACCTATGAGAAGGTAATTACTTTAGTATATTTTACTTCCTGTGACTTATTACAAAGCTAGTTTGTTCTGGTATGTCCATGTGTTTTATCTTTGTGAGAAGCTTTAAGAAAAATTGTCCATAGATTTAGTAACATATTTGAATCCTTTACAAACAGGTCAACTTTGTTTTTTAAAAAAAAATTTTCAAAATGACTCTGTCCATCTGCCTGAGACTGAAATGCCATCAGTGATATCTATGATGGTGGTTTCAATAACTCAGATGCTAAATCGGTCAATTGATGAACTTTGAAATGCTTACATAGTCTATCAGAAGGTCTCACCTGAAACTTCCAGCCCAATTTGTGTGTGTGTATGTGTGTGCATTCTCTCTCTTTGCACAAATAATGTTAAAAAGCTAGGAGAATGTGTCTAATTAAAAAAATTAAGTGTAAAATTTCACTTAAATTTAAACAAAAATTACAACTAGGCAAAATATGGTAGTAGGAGACCAAGACAGGGGAGATGAGAGGTATGCCATTGACCGGCCAGCCTAAATATGGGTGTAGTTGAGTTTGTGAAAAATTTTCTCCCTTGAAGCCATGATGTCAGCAGTGAGCATGAATGCTGCTCAGAGGACGCATGTGTGCACTGCTTTTATTTTTTCATTCTTTTGACAATCATTTGAAAATATTCTCTATAGTTTTCAGCGTGCATAGTTTTTGCTGTTTCTTTTTCAGCTTATCTTTAGTTTCCAATAGTATTTATGACTTTTTTTTGCTGTGACTCTTTAAGTCATTTTTTGAAAATATATGACTAATTACTGATTTCAGTGCCCATTTATGATTAATTATTGCACCATAATTCGGCTTTATACACTGATTTTTCTGTCAATTTTTTTTCACACCCTGGATGTAACACATGCTTTGCTCATGGGAGTAACTATGACAGACATGCTTAGAAGAACTTGGTTTCTAATTTTGGCTTGGAGTCTATGATATTGTGTCTTAAGTTACCTTATCTTTCAGATTAAAAACTTGAGCTTCTGAAGCCCAATATTTTCTCCAAATGCAAGGCATAAATATTGTAAAACAGGTATTAATTATCTTAACAGATTAATACCATAATACTAATGTACCCTCCATTTCCCACAAACTGTTTCTCTTTTGAATATGCCTCATTTCTATTTTCTGTGAAATGAAGTTGGCTGTAACAATCTTGTATTACTGATATCCAAAATATTTCTCCCTTTTTTCTGTCTTTAAATATCTGTTGAGTGCCTCATGGGGAACACAGAGAGACACACTTGACCACAGGAGCAAGACAGAATTCTGTCTTAAACAGCTCCTCCCTAGCATCCCTATGTTGTCCAGGACAGCACTGGGCTTGTATAACCAGTAAATATTTGCTGATTTGAACTTCACATTGTGAATACTTTTATCATTTATTTCATTTATTTGTTTATTTCAGTACTAAAGAGTAACTAGTGTCTGTTGGTAGAATACTCTTACTTTTCAAATTCTGAGTCCAGTCATGACTTCAAAAATAGGAACAACTCTCAAGGCTTATTTGGATCTATTCTTTGTTCACATTCAAGACAAAATTACATATGGGAAAAATGTGAAGTGGAAGAAAAAGGAAAAGCCAGGATACTACTCTGCTTCTTTTCTGGTATGTAGAAAATTGGTCATATGTTTATTGAATTTGGCTTAAACAATTAAATTAGAGACAGATTGCAAGGTTGTCTGATGTAGTGTCTGACACACCGTAGAAGCTAAAAAATGCTAGTTTAGTTATTCTAACGTAATGGACTATGACTACAGCATCTTGTTCTTATTTCTATGTGATCCACCATCTTATTTTCTTTTTTTTTGTTTTTTTCATTCCAAGAATGGTCTGTGTGTGCTTCACTTCTAAATCTGTAAAAGGAGTTCAATGTTTTGTTACATTATAAAGTGCAAACAAGAATCTTAGGCCGGCATTTTCCCTAAAGTTAAATCTTAAAGTGATTTAAGACACCTTGGGAATAAGGGTACCTGATCTCAAACCAGGCAAAATGGGGACCAAAGGTAAGCCCAAACTTTACCTGTACCATACCACTTGTATATCTAATCCTGACTTGCACTCCACATCTTTAAAATTAAATTAAATTAAATTAAATTGAATTTTAAAAAGACATCTTGGGGAGATTATGTGGGCTTCCACATCAGTGAATGATGATTTTTATCTTTATCACATCCATTGTGATATAGTACACAGCACAGCTTATCTCTAGTTTTCAATAGTTTTTATGACTTTGTTGGCTCTGACTCTTTTAGTCATTTTTTGAAAACAAATGAGTAAACAGCTATTTTATTTTAATGACCCACAATTTATTACTGGTGCAATGAGAAGTAAGAAAATAGCACACTTTTATGACTGTTATTTCACAGTCACTCAAATCAGAACTGGAATGCCACCAAAAACAACTCCCTGTTAGCCCAGAGAAAAAAAAGAAAGAAAGTAAAGGGGAAATTCAGATTAGTCACAAAGAAGTTCCCCCGCCTGCCTGCAAAAGTTGCAGCGTTAAAACTGAGAGAGATCGTTCTGCTCTTTCAATCGCCTTTTATCTCTGGTCCTGGGTCCTCTGCCTGTTTTCTGATTGATAGGCTTTGTTTTGCCTTGATCTCCTCCTTGCCCTCCAGGTTCCCCTTTTCTGTGTCTGTATCATCCCTGTATCCAGACTGCGAAGATGGAAGGGGTCCAGCCCCCAGATGAGACTGTGGGGAACGCAGCCAAGCCAAGATTCCAGAGGAGCAAGCTGCTGCTGGTGGCCTCTGTGATTCAGGGGATGGGGCTGCTCCTGTGCTTTGTTTTCATCTGCCTGCACTTCCCCACTCCTCAGGTAAGACCACCATGGGGCTTGCTTCCAGCTTGTGCTGGTGGCAACTGCCACAGCTGCAGTCACCTAGATATAATCTGATGCCCAAGTTGTTGAGTTTTCTTCCCTCCCTGTGGCAATTGTAAAGTGTGGTTAAACACCCTTCTGTCGCTCCTTTCCTTCCTTCTTTTCAATGGTGCAGATGCAGGGCAGAGTGGAGGAAGGGCAGAGACACAACTTCTAGATTTTTTTCATTTTCTTTGCAATGCTAGAATTCTGGCCTTCCTCTACGAGCTGCTACTTTGAAGCTGTGAGTCACTGGTATACTTGGTCTATCCTTTCTACTGCAATGTATTCGATCAGGGAACTAATATAAAAAGGAAATAAGAGGCAAGTTCCGCTTTCCTACCATGTTCTTACACCCCATGGATACTCAAGGAGATTTTCTTTTTAATGATTGCTGAGGGTATCACTACTCAGTTCCTCCAAACATCTTTCCCTGCATTTCCAGTGCAGTGACGGATGTGTGCATTTGTGTGTGCCTCCGCATCCACCCATTCACCCCAGCAATGTAATTTGGTCTTGTTTCTCATAGTCTGTCTCTACAAGTCTCAACTTAACAACATCACTTTGTCTTTTTCTGCTTCATTCAGTACATCATGTAGTAGGTAAATTCTAGTTCTCTAGTATTTTCCCCACTTAAATAAAATGTTCTTTCTATTTTTTCTTCTCTGTATTCTTGCTCCACACTTCCCTCTTTTACATTATTCTTTTCTTATTTAGTAGTTTAGTTATACAAACATCATTAGGTCTCCAAGGAGATGCCACTAAAAAGAAAATAAATCTATACTCTCTTCATGTTCCCTTTTGGGGCTGTTCTGATCATTCTTGCTTTCCTGGCTGGTTGCTCTGGGTTAGAAAGTCTCTTCCTGATAAAGATCAGACAGTAGTAACTTTTATTTCTGAGGGTCGTGTCAAATACTGGGTACCTCAAATTAAGCCAGGATAAGATGAACAGTCCTAGAAAATGCCTGGGCTTGTCTCAGTCTACAGGAAATGGGGGTTTTGGTGCACAGCGGCTGGTGGAAATGTGTGTGGTTGTGATCATTGTACCGCAGAGAGTGCTTGTGTACCCAAATTCCAGAAGTTTAGCTGAGTCTGCGGACCAGTCAGCACAGCAAACTCATCCTCTCCTCATCACACTACACATTTACTCCTCCATGCAAAATCTTTTCATTGAAATTAAAGTAGTCTATTTGGGAGAGTGCATGGGGGTGGGGTGAGGTGTCCATGGCAGGATGCCCAAGACATCAACCGGAATCAGGTTCTTCCGAGAAGAGAGAAAAGAGCAAACAGTGTAACCAAAAATAGAACAGCTGAGTCCATTCACCAGGTCTGCAAGCCCTGAGAGTGTTTTTTTAAACAACCACAGTGTTACAATTTCTTTATATCGTGGGCTGATAAAAAGACAGGACACACGGTCCCAGTCAAGGTTAGTCAACTGTACAAGGGCTCTGAGAAGGAGAAAGCAGAAGATGAAACACGGGCCAGGCATGGTGGCTCAAGCCTGTTATACCAGCACTTTGGGAGGCCGAGGCAAGAGGATTGCCTGAGCCCAGGGGTTTGAGACCAGCATGGGCAACTTGGTGAGATCTTGTCTCTGCAATCAATCAAAAAATTAGCTGGGCATGGTAGCCCACGCCAGTGGTTCCAGCTTCTTGGAAGACTAAGGTGGAAGGATCGCCCAAGTCCAGCAGGTCGAAGCTGGGGTGGCCGTGAGCGTGCCACTGCACTCTGTCCTGGGCGATAGAGTGAGACTCTGACTAAAAAAAAAGATGAAATATGGATGTACAGTCTGCTGCTGGTGGGGGCCATCCTAGACTATCAATACCCTGGGATGCTGAAAAGAAAAGGGGTCCTTTCTGGCAAGCCACTCAACAACTCGGGGACAGAAGGAATGCTGTGGGAAGAAAAACTGAGTACTGGTTTCTAAGACATTAGAACTCACAGTGGGCAATTTCTAGGAGAGAATTAACTTTCTGCAATTCTGGTGCAGACGTGCAAGCAAAGACAAAGGGGCGTGTTTGAGTTGCTTGCTTAAGAAACATGCTCCTGTCTACTCCTAATTTTTTTTGTGGTTCAGATATTTAAAATACCCTCACTTGATATTACTTTTTTTCTTATTTCTAGCTAGACTGTTTTAGTCAGCACAATTTCTTTTGTTATAAAACCTAGGGCAGCACAATTGGTCCTTACAATTTAATCTTGCATTTATTATTTAAACTTTATTATGGGAGGGATGGCATAGATGGGTTGTGTTTGTGTTTCCCTGGAACCTGATAAAATAATGTTGGTGTCAGTGGTGGCAGCAGTGTGTGTGTGTGTGTGTGTGAGAGAGAGAGAGAGAGACAGAAGAGAGAGAGAAATTGAGAGAGACGGTTTGTAGAGTAGCTGATGAAAAGGGGACATTGACTAATAGCCTTTTAAAACCCATCTGCAAGAATGTTTGGAATTTTTATTCAGGGACGAAGGAGTGTGGTGATCAGGTCAAACCTCTACTGTTATAAGACATAATGCTACAGTGATGTGTGTTGGAGGTGAAATAGAGGTGAAATCTTCATCATTTACCCAGTCAAATTGGATTTCTTCTATTGCAAGAGAAACGAATTGGGGAAATAATAATACTTTTCTATTTCTTAGATTTAATTTTTAGCCTTATAAAATAATTGTATACATGGATGGCTATGTAAATACAGATATAGTTATTAAACTTCATTTGGCAATCAACATTTCCTTCAATCAAATTTATATAGTATTACATGAAAAGCAGAATATTTTACTTTTGAGATGCCAGAAAAAAAGATGGACTTTTTCCACTCTCACTCTTCATATAATTCACTTTTCTCTTTGGGCCTGGATTTTCTCATTTGTAACATGATGTAGTTGGATTGGATGATCAGGAAGATCTCTTCCAGCTCATACCTCTGAGTATGTAGCTTATGTATTCATAGACTGAGATATGAGAAACACAAAATGTGAGCCAACAGACTTTTAGGTTTAAGTTTATGGATTTCTTGGCTTTTAAAAAAAGGACTGGGGCAAATCAAATTTGCCCAAATATACTTTTCTATACCTAATTTATATACTCTGTAAATATCTAGATAACTTATTCTTGATTGGCAAAATACATTGTTTAGAAAGGGGAAGGAAGTTTATGTCCTAGAAGAATATTCAAGACACAAATTATAAAAACGAGTGCTGTGTGTCACCAAAACCAATACACAGAGTTTGGATATTACATTGAGACTTCCGCTTAAAGTGTTGGCCTTCCAGTCATATTTGGAACTTCAGCTGGGGAACAAGGGCAGAAAATAACTCTGACCTACAAGTTGTGAGAAGCTTCACTGAAGTCTTACTCTTCCAAGATTCTCATCACCTTTATAACACCTTAAAGATATGAGGGCTTTTAGTGAATTTTTCAGCAATTCACACCATGAAAACTTTAATTCTCATAACATTTTTTGATTGGGAAAAACAAATGTGGAGGTAGTTAGAAAGTGGCTCGACCAGTTCGCTATCAGTGGGAGCCAGAATTAGAACACAGTTTCTTGATGAAGTTTCAGGTTATAACTTGGACCTTTCTATGTATCATGTAATAAGAGAAAGAGAAGTTTGACTGAAAAATCTTGTTTCAGATGAGCTCAATTTAAATACCTCCATGTAATCTAGCAAGTTTCTAGAAATTCTTTTTTCATGACACATGAAAATAAGATAATTTCAAATGCATTTGAATTTGCTTTTTATAAACAAATCTTTGAAAATTAAAGGAAACATCTGAAGTATTGAACTGACTAGTCAGAGGTACTTTGAGACTCTTATAGAAGGTATTGCTAAAAAACAGAATTGTTGTTTTCGAGATAAGAAAACAGAAACCCAGAGAGGGTAGGTGAATTGCTCATGATCACTTAACTAGTTACTTAACCAGAAACTCCTGACTCCTAGATTAGGGTTCTTCCTATTGTTAATCAAAACATCCTTATACAAATTCATTCCATTGAGTATATTCTTGTACTATTTGAGGCACTGGAGATGCAAACATTCATTGGAGGAGGTTTTTGAACTCTTTGAACGCACAGTCAAGATATGGGGGGTAGGGACAGGGATTGAAGGAGCCTTGTAGAGGCATGCTCAAGGGACAATGGGAAGGGAAGAGGAGGCAGGAAGGGCAGTCTCAGCCTTCTGGGGAGTCAGGGAAACTAACTGAAGAGAGAATGAACAGTAAGAGGAGTAGAAATTTTCTAAACAGACAAGAGGGCCAGAAGAAAAGAGGGGACTGAGCCGGAACAGCAAGGCGTTTTGAAGAGCTGAAGTTGTGTCTTCACGGGGAAGAGTGTCAGGGATGAAGGTAAAAATCTAGATGGGGTCAGATCACAAAGGGTTTCGTGAAAATCGTGCTGAGGGAATAAACTTCATTATATTTTAAGTCAAATACAATACAGGAACGTTTACCAAAGTCGTTGCTTCTCCAAATTTTGCTTCTCTTATGTAGTCTATATATTGGCAAATATACACAGTAAATCTCATTTGATAGACACTAGGGGGCACTACAGTAAAACTAACCATTCCCCTGTGTCTTGTAAAGAGAATCTACCCTCTTTTCCTGAAGAAGATTGGAAAACAGTCAGTCAAGTGCTCATCCACATATAAGAGAATGAACAATATCAGGGGGCCTAATAGTGTCCATTGTTTACATAGTGATGACACTTTCTAAATGAAAACTTCAGTATATGTTGTGACTCATATACTCAAAATAGGACAGAATGACTTGAATTGGGATTATGCTGGATAATTTCACACACGTGCCCATATAGACACAAATGCACACACACAGAGGAGAACTGGGAAATAGGTGGACAGGCCCGTGGTGTAGACCCAGGCATACATGCTCCATCTTCCTCTTCTCCTCAGCCCCTGGCCACTAGCACTGAGTAGACACAACCTTCCTGAGGGCTGGTCACCTGCCC